GGCTCCAGTGGCCCCTGTCCAGCCCCGCCGCCCTCCCACAGAGCACGGGCCGGCGAGGCACCTGTAGCCGTCGATGGAGCTGGCGTTGATGTAGTCGGAGCCTTCCACGCCGCGGATGGGCTGCAGGCACACGCGCGTGCTCTCGTAGGGCATGATGTTCACCAGGCGGTTCTTGAACTTGTTACAAGGCAAGTTGGCGCTGACGAAGCGGGATGTGTGGGCCTTGGAGCTGGCCAGCCGCTGCGGGGGCAGGGGCAGGGGGCGGGATGTCGTTAGGGCACCTGCCGTGGGAAGATCCGCTCTCCCCGCACCCTTCAATAATGAATGACTCGCTGCTCTTGGGAGCCACAGGGCGGACTGGGACCGCCCCACAGAATTCATAGTTAGCTGCCAGGTGGCACTTAAACCTCTGCGCCACCAGGGCCTGAGAAACCTTCTGGGGCGTATCTACACCGCCCTCCGTGGACCAGTGTGCGTCGCAATCGACCCAACGCCGCAGGCTGTCGATATGGAGAGATGCAGGCGGAGACACAGATCAAAGCCCTTGTCGCTGAGCGGAAGGGCTCTCGAGGGCCCTCCACGGCAAAAAACTACCGTCACCTGCACCGAAGCAGGCCACCTTTCTCCCTCCCAGCGGCTAGTGGGTTGGAATGGCCCACCACTGGGTTAGCAGCTGCGCTCTGAACCACTGTGCCCCCACTGTGTTGGGGTTAAGGTGCTATGGGTGGGGTCCGTTCCCACTCAGCGACCCCCCCGGCCCAGTGCACCAGAATGAGACCCTGCCCGGTCAGTGATACACTGCCCTGAAAATGCGCAGCGCGCCCCACTAGACTGGAGCCGTGGGCGTGGCGACGGCGGGGCCTGGGGGCCCGCCCCCTCCGCACCTTGAATTCGAGCTCCATGCCAGTCACGTGCTCGCCGGGCTCCACCTGGGCCAGCTTCTGGATGTAGGCGTAGAGGCTGCGGGCCGGCACCTCCGTGTTCCCGCAGCCCACGGCCTCCAGCAGCGCCTCGTGGATGAAGCTGTACTGGTCCTCCGTCTGCACCATGTAGTTGCGCTGCGAGCGCATGAGCGTCACGTGGCCGTACACATCCACCGTCTTCTCGGGCTTGATGCGTTCCAGCATGGCGTCGATGACGATGAAGCAGCCGGTGCGGCCCACGCCGGCACTGTGGGGCAAGGGGCCATCAGGGCTGCTGCGTGGGGAGGGGGCCAGGGCGCGATCCAAAGCTAGGGAGATGGGCAGGCCAGAAAGGAGGGGCAGGAGCGAGGGTGGCGCTTAGACTGAACTGGAAGGGTGGGTGGGGCAGCACCAGGTTGGAAGTGTGGTCAAGCGCTGCTGGCAGGTACTAGCCACAGGGGGGTGGAGCTGTAGGCGGGGGTGGGGTGGGGGTGAACAGTGCCATGGTGGGCAGGGACAGACAGGCAGCTGCACCATGATAGGATGGGGGCTATGGGTGGGGCCCAAGGCGGTGGGTGGGGCCGGCAGGAACACCCTGAAGGGATGGGGCTTTGGGCAGTACGTGCTGCACTGCCATGGGTTGGGCCAGGGGCGGGGCCGGGCGGACACCTGCAGTGCACCACGACAGGGCCAGCATCTGGCGGGTTGCAGGTCTTGACTCTCCTCAGGAAGGCCAGGAAGGGAGTGGGGTACTCGGGCACCCCGTGGTCTGGCCACGCGGTGAACTGGAACTGGCGGACCTCCCGCTTCTCACTGGAGCCGTTCTGGGGGCCATGAGAATGCCAACAGTCACCCCCTGGCCCCGCTGCCCACTCCCATGCCCCTGCCCCAGCCCCACCTCTTTACCCAGTCACCGCAGTGCTGAGGTCCAAGCCCCCACCAGCACCCCACTGGTCTCTCCACGTAGGCTTTTTTGGGGGTGGGGGTCTCACAAAATGGTTCAAAGTGTGCTTTAGCCTTCCTAGAACTCACTCCTCTCCTACCTACCTTCACAGGTCAAGTGGCTCACTTCATACAACCTGGGATGCCACAGTTCCATGCCTCTCACCCCAACCCAGTACCCAGCCTTTCCTCACGGTCCCCCTCACTCCCTACAGTCTGTTCCCCCTGCAATGGCCATGGGACACTTCAGAGCATCTGTCCCTGAGACCTCCAGCCATGTAGGCTTCCAGCTCCCAGGGGCCACCTCATCTGCCTCGGTCGCTCTGGTGTCCAGTGCCCAGATCAAAGCC